TGCCCCCAAATTCAGAAGGGGAAACTCTGGGCCCGGGCTCTGGGCAGAAGAGGTGTGAGATCTCTCCCATTCATAACAGGCCCTCGTCCACACCCAGGAGCCTCGCGGCACCTGCCGCGATCCAAGCAACGGTAACAGGCTAGCTGCTCAGTTAACAGGCAGGGATAAAAAGCAAACCCCGGACCGAACATGCTCTCCTGCTCCCCCAAGCCCCTCGATGCCTGCGAGATCCTCCTAGAACTGGTCCTTGCCTACTTTCCGACCCCACTCTCCACGCCTTCCCTTTGCCCACTGTGCTCCCCAGCCCCGTGCCCCCTTGCAAGATGACAAGCCCAGGACCCGTGCACAGCCTGTGCACCCTGCCCGGATGCTTTTCCCACAGACAGGACGACACCCACCACTTAACTCAGGATGCTGGGTCCCGTGTCAGCTCATCAGAGAGACTCTCTCTGAACCTTCTGCACCCCTGAATCACGCCGTCTACCACCCTCTGCACCTCGCCCACCTCTGTTTTCCAACGTTACATGCTTATGGATAGCTGAAAAGGTTCTCCATGCAATTAGGGTCCTTGAGCTCAGACTCCGTTTTGTTCCCCGTCATGTTCCTACAACAGCGATCTTACATCATCGTGAACGATCACCTGAAAGGTAGGTATTATCCCATTTTACAGATAATAAACCTGGGGCTAAAAGACACTGAACAGTTGCAATTTGCACAATCTCACAGTTAGTAGGTGTTAGACCTCGGGATCAAATCCAGACTTTTTCTGTGCCAACCTATTGTCAAGAGACACTCCTCCAAGGGTCTCGTGCATTCCCACACGTCTTACTGGGTGGGCTCAGAATGCAAAGCCCTGACCAGTCCTTTATCTGGATTGCTTTTCAGGGTTATGTTTGGAGCAACCAATTGCACGACCTGAGGTAGTCTGGGACCAAAAGAGGGCTTGCTTACCGTTTGCTACAAAATCCTGAACTTTATAACCAGTAAAATGCCCTTGTTAAGTGCCTCGTTGCCCACGAGCAACTTTCTGGCCACTTCCCTTCCCTCCAAATTCACGTGAGACAAGGATGTGTTGGAAGGAAGGAACCAAAAGAAAATTGATTTGACTGAAGAAGGCTAAGCCAATGAATTCGGCGCAGGCATTGTGGAAAACAGATAACACTGACAGGTGAAAGTTGCTCAAATGTTTACATCTTTGTGACCTTCAGAGTCAGCTCAGCCATGAAGTGTCTGGAGTTCGACCGAACGAGGAAAGTGGTCAGGCTGAGCCTGAACGGTCACTGAGAGCACAGACCGTGTCTCATTTACTTCTGTATCTCTGGCACTGTACCCGTACGGGGGCCTGTTTCATGGGCAGATGGGCCTGTTTCATGGGCCGAACGATAACAGCCTTGCTGGTCGACTCCCACACTGACTGCTCGTCGGGGAGGAAGCAGGAAGGGCTGGGCTCTCTTACATACGGGAGTTTTTACTTTTATTTTTAAGTTTATTCATTCATCTAGAGGGGGAGAGAGAGAGCGAGCGTGGGGGAGGCGCAGAGAGGGAAAGGGAGAGGGAAAATCCCAAGCAGGCTCCAGACTGTCAACACACAGCACAAGGTGGGACTCGATCCCACAAACTGTGAGACCATGATCTGAGCTGAAATCGAGAGTCAGATGCTTCACCGACTGAGCCACCCAGGCGCCCCCATACGGGGGCTTGTTGAGCGTTCCTTCTGGGAAACTTTCAAGGAGTTCACAGGCCAGTAACCAGGCAGAACTGCTGTCTGATTATTCTTTTTCCAGCTGAATGAGCTTCAGTTAATGGAACACTTTAATAAGTCCTTCTGGGTCCCAGGGAAAGAGAGACGTTCCTCTGCTCCTAGAAATGAATTTCTGGTTCCACAGCCACAGGCCCCACACCAGAGAGAGGCAAGGACTGCTTGAGGCTCTTATCTGAATGCCCGAGGCAGGATCACCGAGGTCGTGCCCCCTGCACTGGGCATCCCTCTGCTGAGAGTTCCAGGCTCACAAAATCAAAAGGGAGCTGCTGGAAGGCTCTGTCCCGATGCCTGACTGCCGCCTGCCTCGGAGGCAAAGGCTTGTGGCATTTCAGGATCACAGAGGAACGGAGGGAGGGCCCTACCTCTCTGCTTCCTTTTCCAGGTAGGGAAAGCAAGGCTCAGGGACGTGACTTGTCCGAGGCTGTATAGGCGTCTGTGGTGGCAGCAAGACTTGAACTCGTGGTCCCTAACTTTCCAAACACATCCCTTCCAGCACACCCCGCCCGTGAGCTGCTTCAGCAGGTGCCAGACAGGTGTCATTACCAACCAAGATGGCGGAGGAAGGGACCTCCGGGCGGGACTGGAAGGTGCCCAAGATTACAGCCTGCTGATGGCCGTGCCAGGCCACAGGTGGGTCTGCTTCTGCCCCCCCCCATACCGAATATGAAGCTACTTCAAATGTCAACCAAGAATGAACTGTACAAAATGGGTTAAGGAATCAGATGAGTCATTTCCTATTAGATATACACTTTTCTTCTGCTCCACTCAATCCTGTTTGATTTCTTCTTCTTGTCTTTTTTCTTCTCTCTTTTTTTTTTTTTTTTTTTTTTTTGCTACATAGCCATGACCCCCTACCTCACCCCTGCAGACACTTGGAGGTGACAGATGGAGGAGACAACAGAGACTAGTAGCTGTGTTGGTGGGAGAGTGGGGAGGCAAACATACAGAGGGTCGAAGAGTGTTCTGGTACAACAGTCACATTCCCTGCCCCAGGGCCTTTGCACCTGCCACCCTTCCTGCCCCGCCTAGAAGATTCTTAGCCTAGAATCCACACAGCTTGCTCTCTGGCTGCATTCATGGTTCTGCCCACATGCCCTCCCTGGAGGGGCCTTCCCTGATCCCCCTAAAATCGCATCGCTGTCAGTGTTCCCTTGCTCAGCTACATTTCCCTTTGCAGACCCAGTCACAAAATGACACTTCACTGTACACGGTATTCCTTCTCTATTTGTCTCTCTTCCCCCACTAGGGGAGGGCAGGGACCTCACCTGGGTCCTTTACTGCTGTGTCCCCCATACTGAGAACAGCGGTGGGCTCTCAATATGTGTGGGCTGCACACAGGATGCAAAGTGCTCAGAGCTCAGCGAGCAGAGGTCCCTTTGGGTTTGTGTAGAGTGGGAGGTGGTGGGGGAGGGGGAGTTCTGGGTCATTTCTGGGCCTCAGTGTCCTCATATGGAAAATGGGATGGTGACAGTGACATCCTCAAGGCAGGGTGGCCCACGGATGGCCCAGGGCAAGTGTCTGGCTCAGGGCGGGTGCCTCTCCCCTCGGGAGGTTTCCCCCTCTGACCTGAGCTCTGTTGGCCCCGGACCAAGCAGATCAGTCACCTTCGGGGACGGGAGGCAGAGCTCCACCCACAGACTTCCTCTGGTTTTTGCAAAAACAATAAAGCCAAAAATATTACAAAACCGCACTCTACATCTGTGCAGGCAGCGAGAGCTGTGGCGAGCAAGTGTGCATCCTGCCTCCTGGGGTCCTCTGTGGCGAGGCAGGATGTGGGGCTCACGGCATGGGAGGGGCACCCGGCCCTACCAGGGGGCCCACGGGTCTGGTTCCCAGAGAGCCCGCGGCCTCAGAGTGACTTCCATGGAATACTGGGATGTCAGATGGAGGGGGGTTCGTTCCCCCCGGGAGTGCGTGTGACTCTGGATTTGTCCCAACCAGGGTACCCGTGGAGGGTGGGGCTGTTTTCATCAAGTATCACCCCTTTCTCAGTCAGTCCCCTGCCCTGATGGGCTTTTCCTTGTCAACTCAGGAGCATAAGCGGCTGCATGACCATCATCAAAGACTCATTGCCGCTCTGGCCAGAAACCACAAGGATCCCACTGTACGGATGGACAAACTGAGGCCCAGTGAAGGTAAAGGACTTGGTGAAATTCACCCAGTGCAACGTGGCGGAACCGGACCTAGAACCAGCTTTCCGGACTTCTGGACGAGGACGTTAGTGAGGTCGCGGTTTCCGGATTTTGTTTAAGCTAGAATCTTACCCGGGCAGAAACTAACTACTGAAGCAGATTTTCCAGTTGAGGGGGGCGGGGCCCAGCCCGGACGCTGGGGCCTCCCCACCACCCCGAAGATGGCTTGAAAACCAACATCACGCCCACCTCTACCCCTACTCTAGAGTTTTCTCTGAGGACTTAGGAGACCAAATCAGGCGGTTCATCTGCGGTCACGTTACTAAGTGGGGCTTGTTCATTCTCAAAGATTTTTCAGAAGCAGGTTCTAGGAAACCTTCTGAAAACAAGACAGTGGGCCTCAAGGATGGAAACGAAGACGGGCACTCTTGGTGACGGGAGAGGGGGGGAGCGTGAGAGGTAGCAGGACCGGAAAGCGGAGATGGTCAGAATCACACTGAGGGTGCAGAAAAGGCTGGGGGAGGTTAGCCCTTGGCAAGGCACCTGCTTGGGTGTGGGATGAGGGCACTGGGGGCCTGGGCTGGTGTCAGCCCGGTGCTGGACCCCACTTCCGCCACCTGTCCTGCCCTCCTTCCCACCGCGAAGTCAAGGATCGTACTTTCTGAATCACAAAGACACCTCCACGGTCAAAATGGTCTATAGGCACAGTCTGCACACGAAATGTAAGACATGCTTTAGGACGGGGCGCAGAATGCATTTCTCACGCCGCACGCGTTGGTGACTTGGGGCATTTAAACGTAGCGAAAAGGGGAAGCCCTTGATTAAGCAGAACTTTCCAGTGATTTGATGAGCGTCCGGTTCCCTGAACACTGCCCCACCGCGCGGGATTAGAAAGGATCCCCTTCAAAATATCCTGTATGTCTGGAGGGCCTACTGTGCTCTGTAGGAGGCACCGGGAGAGTTACGACACTAACCGGGTCACAGGTCTCCCACCCTTGGCTGCCGGGGGACAACCGTTTCAACGCAGTTTAAGACAGAGAAAGCAAGCAATTAGCAGCACAGGCTCTGGAGTCACCGAGAGCTGGGCTCAAGTTCCAGCCACTCACCAGCTGTGCGATCTCGGGGGGAGTGCCTCAACCTCTCGGAGCCTCGGCTTCTTCATCTGAAAAACAGAAAAAAAAAGTACTCAGACTTACCGCAGGGAGAAGGCGGGAAGATCTCTCCAGACTGTGCCAGCAACAAGCTAAGCTCACACACCCAGAGTAAACAGGGAGTGCTATTCTGATGGCAGAGCCCCGTCAGGCCCACTGGTGGCGAAAGAGAAGAGTCACCAGCAGAGCGTGGGGTCAGAGCCGGGAGCACTGAGTGGGGAGGCTCTGTGCTCCAAAATGTAAACGAACGCTGTGCACTGCGCGATCTCTGAGGCCGCTTCCTGCCCCAGATCGGAGACCAGGGGCCGGGGTGTGCCTAATTTGGAGATGTCCTGTGCACCCGGCAGGGTCAGCCACTCCACACAACCTGTGCAACCTCACGGTTGCACGCACAGTCCCCGAGGCAGCTCCGGCCTCCCGTCGGACCTGGGAGGAAACTGAGGCTCAGACACGCGGAGTGGCTTGGTGGGGCCACAGGAGCGGGGAGGGGCAGCGTGGGACTGGAAGCTATTGTTCCCCCATGACGGGAAGAGAGAGGCCCGTGCAGGTGGCACCTGCAACCGGGCTGGTGGCAAGTCCCGGCTCACGTGGGGGGCGGGGGGAGGAGGGTCTGACTCTGGAATGTTCTAACTGGCAGGAATCAGACAGCTGGGCATTTTCTAAAGGGAGAGGTTACTTGAATCTGAGACTCAGGAAGTATTATTGTTGTTCTGGCTTTTTTCCTAAGTGCTGGGGGGGGGGAGGCTCCCAAAACAGTAATAAGGACAGATGAAAATCCCGCCCCAGCTCTCCCCATGGTATTAATAATAAGCCCTCAGCTTGCAGTAGCTTCAGCTGCTCGCTGTCACGGCTCTCGTCACCTGTGAGGCATGCAAAATGCTTTCCCTCTGGGAGTGGGGATGAAGAGAACTTTCTATAGCATTCCAATTTTAGTACGTGTGCCTGCCAAGGCAAGCAAGAAAAGAACTTTCGGGATAGTCAAGACCACCTGGGCTTGTTTCTCTCCCTCTCACCTGAATGCACCTGCGCCCGTGGATCTGATCTCACTGACCTCTGCAGGTCAACAGTGGATGACCCAGAGGCCCATGGATGTTAATATTACAGAGCGGCCGCTCCGGCCAGCGGGAGTCAGTGCCCAGGATGGGCTGTCCTGCCTCTGTCTGACTCTCCATGGAAACAACATGAAAGGAAAATTTTTAGAAAGTACACAGTAGTTTAATTCGAAGTAATTACTTTCTAGAATAAGCAGCGTGTGTTGTTTGCACCCTTTTTTCTGCCACAGATCGGGGAGCATTGGGCAGGGGACATAGTCTTGCATAACTAACACTGGATGAGCTCAAGGCCATCAGGGCAGCGGCTAGCTGTGTATCTTTCAGTGAGTCACTTTTCCACCATGCCTCAGTTTCCTGATCTGTAAAGTAGGGAGAATGACAGTGTCTAGCTCCCGGCTTGCTTAAAAGATTAAGAAGGCCAACATATATGAAGTGTTTAAACTATGCCTGGCATACAGTAAGTCCTCTCTATGGGAAAAGCTGCCATCATCATAATCACCATCACTACCACCACCAACATCACCATCGCCATCATCACCACCATCAATATCATCTCCATCATCATCGTCATATCTTCAACATCATCTTCACCATTACCATCATCATATCTTCATCACCATCATATCAACAGCAGTGGCATCACCATTATATCTTTATCATTATCATATCATTACCATCATCATATCACCATTACCATCACCATCACCATCATTACCACCATCACCTCCATCAACATCACCATCACCATCTCCATCAACATCATCATCAACATCAGCATCATCATCACCATCACCATCTCCATCAACATCACCATCTCCATCAACATCATCATCAACATCAACATCATCATCAACATCAACATCAACATCACCATCAACATCATCATCACCATCACCATCTCCATCATCATCAACATCACCATCATCACCACCACCATCTCCATCAACATCATCACCACTATCACCTCCATCAACATCACCATCACCATCTCCATCAACATCACCATCAACATCAACATCATCATCACCATCACCATCACCATCTCCATCAACATCAACATCATCACCATCAACATCATCATCAACATCAACATCAACAACATCACTATCAACATCATCGTCACCATCACCATCTCCATCACCATCAACATCACCATCATCACCACCACCATCTCCATCAACATCATCACCACTATCACCTCCATCAACATCACCATCACCATCTCCATCAACATCATCATCAACATCAACATCATCACCATCAACATCATCATCACCATCACCATCTCCATCAACATCACCATCAACATCACCATCTCCATCACCATCAACATCACCATCATCACCACCACCATCTCCATCAACATCATCACCACTATCACCTCCATCAACATCACCATCACCATCTCCATCAACATCATCATCAACATCAACATCATCGCCATCACCATCACCATCACCATCTCCATCAACATCAACATCACCATCTCCATCAACATCATCATCACCATCATCACCACCATCACCTTCTTCAACATCATCACCACTATTACCTCCATCAACATCATCATCACCATCTCTATCAACAACATCATCACCGTCTCCACCAACATCATCACCATCAGCATCATCATCGCCAACACTATCACCATCATCATCATCACTGCTCTCATCTCCATCACCATTCACCGTCACCATCTACTCTGGGCCAGATGCGACACATCTTATGGGAAGTGTCATTGATCCCGTTTCCGAGATGAGGAAATTGAGCCTGCAAGAGTCAACACGCACAGACTTATTTGTTGTGCCAATAATTAATTAGCAGTGAGCTGGGAGGAGGCACATGGCACCATCTGCCCCAACACTGCTGAGCTGAGCTGAGCCACATCAAGCAGAGGACTTGGAAAGGCAGGCTGTCCCCATGTCCTTTGATCATTTTCTCCTTAGCTGGTGGATCCCTCTGTTAAACACACAGCCTCAGACACATGCCTCCCTAAGCAAGGCCACATATGTATTAGGAATAAGAGACAAACACGGAGTTTGGAGTGTTGCCACTGAATCCCAAGAGGAGACTCTGAGCCTGGTGGTTGTACGAATGGCTACTCAAGACAAATACCCAAACTCATAAATGAGACCCAGAAACTTCCCTGGACACAAAGCCGTGCGAGTGAGTTCTCCTGATGCCCATCCACATCCATCCCTGTTGTGCAGGGTCATTACGGTGCTTTCTTGGTGGGGGACAGTATCTGTGGCAGGGGGCTTGGAGAATTACTGCCACTTGGGGGTTTACAACAGGATCTTTGTAAAAAGAATCTCTCGGAGTCAATTCCGGTTCTGAACATTGCCCAATTACCTTAGTGTAGGCACCAAAGGCCACAAGAAAATGAAAATCTACTGAGATTTTGCTGGCGAGAACTTGGGCCATTTTCTTATTTTTTGTTTGTTTGTTTAAATTCCAGTAGAGTTAGCATACAGCGTTATGTTGGTTCCAGGCATACAATACAGCGATTCAACAGTCCTATATATTACCCAGCACAGTATTATCTACAGTAGCTAAGTTATGGAGGCAGCCTTAGTGTCCATCAACAGATGAACGGGTAAAGAAGACATGGTGTATCTATGCAATGGAATACTATTCGGCCATAAAAAGGGAGTGAAGTCTTGCCATTTGCAAAACATCCGTCTTGATGTGGTAGGTCCCGGTTGGCATAAGGAAAGGACGTGCCTCAAGCCACAGCAGGTGAGCAACACCCAGGGCTCCCCCAAACCTGGGGGGCTCCCATTAACTGCTTCCTGCTTCACCACAGGATGACAAAAAATGTCTTCTCTGAGCACCTAGTTTGTGCCAGGGAATTGGGACAGGTGACAAGGACATAAAGACGAATGGAATGAAGAGTCACCACGGCAGAGAAATGCCCCATCAGTACAGTTCGGGCCAAGTGACAACCAAGCACGAATAGCAACCCGACTCCTATTCAGTGCTTTCTTGTGAAGCCCTACCCGCCCCCTCAGCCCCCGCCCCTGCCAACGGGGCTGTTATTTGGAGACAAGGCCTATAGGGAGGTAATTAAGGGGAGATGCGGTCATATGATTGGGGCCCTAGTCCCACAGACCAGCATCCTTGTAAGAAAAAGAAGAGACTAGGGGTGCCTGGGTGGCTCAGCCGGTTAAGCATCCGACTTCGGCTCAGGTCATGATCTCGCGGTCGGTGAGTTTGAGCCCCGCGTCAGGCTCTGTGCTGACAGCTCAGAGCCTGGAGCCTGTTTCACATTCTGTGTCTCCCTTTCTCTCTGACTCTCCCCCATTCAAGCTCTGTCTCTCCCTGTCTCAAAAATAAATAAACGTTAAAAATTTAAAAAAAAAAAGAAAGAAAGAAAAAGAAGAGACCCTGAAATGCACTCACAGTGCACACGTAAAGAAAGACCAGCAATTCCCCTCCCCCATTCATGCTCTGTCTCTCTCTGTCCCAAAAATAAATAAACGTTGAAAAAAAAAAATTAAAAAAAAGAAAGACCAGCAAGGACACAGCAGAAAGATGGTCGTCTACAAGCTGGGAAAAGAAGTCTCATGAGACACCACCTTTGACGGCAACTCGATCTTGGACTTCTAGCCCAAGTGAGAAAGAGAAAATAAGTTTTCGTTGTTTACGACACCCAGCTGTAGAACTCTGTTATGGCAGCCCCAGGAGACTCACGCAGGGCTGTGATTGTCATGCCCATTTTACAGATGAGGAAGCTGGGGCATGAGGAGGAGAAGTACCTTCCAGAAGGCCACCCAGCTACTAAATGGTAGAGCCAGGGGTCAGACCTACGCGTCTGGCTGCAGAGCCCAGCAGTTTACGGCCAACTGCGTTACACAAATACATATTTCCTGCCTCCTCGGTCCCTACTTTCACTGTGAGAAGACTATACCTCCCCCCTGCTTTGATGTTCGGTTTGGTCAGCTCTCTTGCTTTGGCCA